TTAACTATAATTAAGGTTGGCGTGCAGGTAAAATAATTTGATGAATATTTTCACTGCGTAATTACGGAAAGCAATTCTTGAAAGGGTCACAGCTACGGTCGTGAATGTTCACAATGGTGTTGAAATTAAAACTGCCGAGATACCAGTTCACATTACAGTTAGTGAAATAAAATTGCATGCCTACTTTCCCCCTGATATAATAAATATAATCCAGGAAAGCAAAGATTAAAAAAATCGAAGCATTGACACGACCACTCTGATCATGAGTGTTGATGCCTGGAACTTGGAAACAGCCGCTACCAAGCACATGATTTGTTTCGAAAATACCCAGGAGGTTTTGGGGAACGAAGCGATTGCATAGCAGGCGGTAGGCAAATAAACAGCGTTGAAAAATACTTCATCCACCGATTGTTATGAAGGCCGATCGTGTCGGTGTCGCAGTTTTTCAGCACTCAGTTCAGCTGAGGACCACGCTACTGAAGACACTTTAGGGTACTGCCGGCTCTAACTTAATTTAGATATTGCATAAAAGAAAGAACCGGACAGAAACACTTCATATGGTGGCGTAAACCCTAGATATATATCAGCAATCTCACTTTCCTTCGTTAGGGCTATCCGCTTTTTCAGCGAATCAAGAAAATTGTGATGAACTGATGGGTGAAAAATACTCCCCGTGTCAAGTCACATATTCAGCGACGCCGCGCCGTACACGAACGAAGGTAGACAATCAAGACTGCAGAGTGTTCTCCATGTTGGCCCCGCCGTCAGCACGGTGTGACAGGGTGATCGGATAACAAATTGGTCAACACGTTTGCCGGGCGGCAGCAACATGTTGCCTGACTGTTGTTGTTGCCACGATGTGACAGGGTCGCCGGAAACACGTTTTCCTCGTGTTGCCGGATAGAGTTGTCCATCTGTTGCTTCGGTGTGACAGAGGCTTTATACTCGTCTATTTTGATGTCTTTCACTGCTCCTACTGTTTTTTGTGTACCCATCTTCCACGTCGAAAAACCATTTTCCTTCGAAAACTTTTATTTTTTCATTAGAGGAAAAAAAAAAGAAAAAAAAAAGTAAAACAGAAAGAAAAAAAAAGACACGCAATGAGGTACGGAGTTAATGCCGATTTTGGTCGAGAACTGCTGAACTGATAACGGGGATTGTGGCAAACAGGAGACTAGTCTATCCACCATGACAACGAGCCTGACCCAATGGCGCCAAGTTTCCAGCTGTTCTTGAACAAAAACAGCCTGAATCCCCAACCCCCCTCCCCCCTTCCCCCTCTTCCCCCCCCCCCCCCCCCCCCCCCCCCCCCCACCCCCATATTCGCCTGACCACGATGAAAAAGTTCTCAAAGGAAAACGGTTTGCCGGTGTGGAAAAAGTGAAACAAAGTACGGGAGAGGGCATGAAAGCCACTGACGAGTTTTAAAGGTTTTTCTGAGCGTGGGAAGGAACGCCTCGACAAGTGTATTGCATCAGGCGGAAAGTACTTCTAAAGTGACGGAAATTTGAACTTGTAAAAACAAATCCCCTGTACGCATTGCCGTAAACGCCCCCCCCCCCCCCCCCCCCCTTTCCTCCCTATCCCCCCCTACAAAAATATTTCTGCCCAAGGTATTGCTTAGACCCTGAGGGTATTTAAATATAATAAATAGACATCCATGCGTTAGTGGAACACCAGCTCTAAAATGTTGCAGAAACTGCACAAGACAAGAAGGTATCAAAGACTGGTAGGGAAAACTAGCAAAAGATTTTCCTGGAAACTTTAAAAAAAAAGTCGATATTTCGACAAGAGGCATATTCTTCAGGGCCATAAAAATGATAAGCTTCTTAGCAACCCGTCAGCTGCTTCTCTCGTAATTCTAGAAGATTCCTTCTCGAGTTGAGCAAAGTGGCGTGTCTAATGTGGGCGATGTTATAGATCCTTCTTCAAAGAATACAAGTGCCGTTATACCGCGATTTCTAAGAGAAGTTACTCGAGCAAACTTTGAGCGTTTTATTTGCTTTGAAATGATCAGTAAGCTCTACAATGCTCGGTTAGTGCTGCTGTCAAGGGAATGACTACGAACTTGCACTTCGCTTATCAAGACGACTGAAGCGCTGTGTGGCGATTGAACATCTGAGCTACGTCGCCTTTGTCAGCGGTGTGCCTGTGAAATAGGTACATCACTGACTTTCTTTTGCAAATATTCGGTTCTAATTACTATACTTTCATTAAAAAGAGAGTCATTACAGTGTTTCATACTCCAAAGTTATCTCCCAGAAAACGCTTTTTCCGTTTTCCCCGACCCGTATGCGGCGCAAAACTGAGTGAGAAGAGGAGACGAGAGGAGGCAGGGACGGTCGGAGCACCGGGCCAATGAACCTCCCGCGTTGGGGCTCGTTAGGACTTGTTTTGGGTAGTACGAACGTGAGCGTCTCAAAGTGTCACACATGTAGAAGTGTGACAGCTCTAATGCGGAACGCGATCACGAGGAAAATATAAAGAAACAACCGAAATTCTAAGTTCGTCAAAGCAGAGAGTCAAAGCTAAGACGCAAGAGTGCGAGTCAAGAGACATTTTTTCATGCGTTTCAAAGTAAAACAAGAAAAAAAAAAAAAGTGCGAGACGCCAGATGTTGTGACGTCACCGCCCAGAGTAAAGAGACGCGTACCCTAGCGTTAGTGGCATGCACCTGCTACTTTAGATTGTCTTGGGGCCTTGAACCTAGCCGATTTCGGACGTCAAAAGGGGTTTCTCCGTTCTTCAACACTACAGAAAAAGAAAAAAAAAAATCCTCAGCGAAGGTGTTATAAGCAGTGCGAGGCATGAGGGCGTCATAGTTTGTTCAAAGCTTGAGCGGAGAAGGCCCATACCACCTTGAAGATGCGCATGCATTCCTCACAAAAATTATCAACAGGTTTCAAATGAGTTTCTAACGTATTATATAAGAATACATTATAATATGCATTTCGCATGTATTATATAAGAATACGTTAGAAACTCAATTGAGCGATGACGTCACGTGTGACGTCATCGCTAGTGGATCCCCGACCCGCCCCAAGCGTCAATTACGCTAAAGCTCGACGACAGACGCCGCAAAGTGGCAGACGCGTCCGCCTTGGCGTCGCCGCGTGTTAGCGTCGCGCTCACTGTGAGACGCTGCAAGACTCGCCGACGGCGATCCTGAAGCCAGCCAGGCGGCGCTACGTGAATCAACTGGTGGTGACGTTTGGGGGGAAAGGCTTCGTCTCCTATCCGGTATTCACCGTGCTTTGGTCGGGATGATTAGTGGGTAGGCGGAAAGCTAGCCGTCCTTTGGGCCTCTACTCACTGTTCGAGCGCGTCCGAACGCGAGACACTGCGCGAAAAGCAGAGGATACTCTTGTCCGCTCTAATCGAAGGGAGATAGCCTGCAACCTGTAAATAGCCTGTAAAACGCAAAGGCAACTAGCCTTTGCGTTTTACCCACTAAGCGTTTCAATCAGAGCTCGGTGCTTTCATTTCCTCCTCTCCCTAAATGTTCTCCTTTTACTTAGGCGAATGTAAAAAGCCCGTATACAGTTTTATCTGAGCCACCTCGTATGCCTGAAGCCTCGATATCTGTCAACAACGACGCAGGTGAGAGTGTTTGCGGGACTGGCACCCTTTAACAACCTCGCTCACATCAAGGTGATGTCTCTGGTTCTCGTCGCTCCGTACGTCGAAGGTTTTCTGGTAAGAGTGGTGTTGCTTCATTCTTTTGTGTGTGTGTGCGTGCTTATCGAATTTTGTTTTGTCCGCAACCCATCTAGCGTGTCTGTTTGCTGAACGCAGAAAGGCGCGTACGCCGGCGGCATGTACGAGGTTCTACCCCGAAGATTTCCCATCGTGGCCCGCGTCCGAAGGCTGTGCGCCTTGAGAGCGATGAGAGGAGTGTGCTCGTACTTCGGCGACAGCTTCGGCAACCTGGGGAGCCGCTATATCAACCAGGTGCCGTTTTTCGTTTCGGAAAGCGTCAAACTATACGATATCTTTTTTTTTTTTTTCAACTTCTAATAAACTGTTTGAGAGAAAGCAACAAGGGCGATAAGAAGTTTCTTAGCATACATAATATGTAGGTGCATAGAATGCAGATAGCTACTTAGCATAATCACTACTCAGATTTTGGCAGTTATTATGAGGTTGTAGAAGCTAGTGGACATGTCTGTTCACAAGCATGTCTGTTTTGTGGCCATTTGGTGTAGGCTGGAGCACGTACTATAAGTATAAACACGGATACTAACAGCGAACGCCACCGCGCATTCACTGCGTTTGGTATTCTAGCAGATGATAAAAGAGGTATGAAAAAGATGAAGGACACTATGGGCATTTGGCTTTTAATAGGTCCCATTGGCTCGTAGCGTGGGCTGCATTCTGACGTCAGAGGGAAACAATGTATAAGCGAAATCTACCTTATGCCGTCACGCCACTCGGGTGGCGCTACTGTCGGCACTGCGTGTGCGTAGACTCTTCCTCTCACTCGAATCTGGTTTCTGGGCACGCGCAGTGCCCCCACCTGGTGTGGAAAAGCGCGGGCTTATTTGTAAACGATGTGTTCGTGTATAGCGAAAGGTATTTTACGCTTTTTGCGATCAGGAACTTATTTTTATTTGTGGCTATTATGTGCGTTCTTGCCCCTGTTAGGACATGTCAGTAACAGTAACGGTATCATGCTAACGCTATGCCCTGACAATAAATGCAGGGTTATACATGTATAGGATTCGTTCTTTTACTTGTTTCCACCGGTCTCGAGAGCAGTCTCGGCTGTCCGTCTACCTCTGCCATGTCCCTGCCGGAACATCGATGAAAAACGTCATTCACTACGACCAGGTGAGAAGCGATGGGAGGGTTCGGCCTCGGCCAATACCAGCTAGAAGGCGAAGGTCTGCGCGTGGCATCACCCCAAGCGGAAAACACACTGAAATTCGACCGGAGACGCAGCAAAGCGATAGGCACCATCGTCTTGGCGTTGCCGCGTTCTAGCGTCGCACTTGTTGTGAGACGCTGGCGAGACACTATAGCGGCGAGCAGGGTGTCGAACCGGAACCGAACCGAACCGAAAACCGGAACAGAACCGTTATTTTTAGCCGAACCGGAACTGAACCGAACCGAAATCTTCGCCGCCATCTTGGAACTGAACCGGAACTGAACCGGAAAAAAATATAACGGTAACCGGTTCAAAACGGTTCACGGTATTTTTTTTTGTTAGTATTACAAATTTATTATTATTGGCACGTGTATTCCTCTACGTATTGATCAAATCGTCATATACAGAATTGCAATGTATAATAAATCCTGGTTTTTTGCGGCGCTTTCTTATTGGCACTATGATTAGCCATGTGTCACAATGTCACGTGACGTCATGATGTCAAGACATGCTGTCAAGTAATGTCACATCACGTGACCCCGTGACGTCACGTGACTCACCGCGTTAAGTCGATTCGAATTGAGGACGTCGCTAGATCTATTAACGTTGTTGATACCGTGACGTCACATGACATTACAACTTCACACTGAGAGTCACGTGACACCATGATGTACCCGATTGTCATGATCCCGAGTCAAATGCTCTGGTTCATGACAACCAGTATCGCCAAACATTCGGGTAACGCTCGTGTTCAACTCAAAGATTATGATGGGCCCGAGTCCCACTAGAGCTAGAAACAGAAACAAACGAAAGCGACAAGCCTCAGACACATGCAGCATGTTCGCGATGGTACCTTTATACGGCTTTGAGTTGTTCGGTGCTCGCGAAGTTAGCACGAGTGTTTACAAGCCTGCAAATGGTACCATCGTGTGCATGATACTCGTGTTTGAGCATAGCCTTCTTTACTCTACAAAGCCTGTCAAATCGCGAAATACTCTGGTTTAAGGCTAGCCGCTGTCGTTTGTTTCTGTTTGTCGCTTTAGTGGGGCTCGGGCATTATAGCCCAACTAAAGCTATATCTGAAGATCAGCCCATGCTCTATGCTTTGCCAACCCTGCGTATGACTATGATAAACACTGACGGTGTATATATTAGGATCAGATCACGTGGCTGATAGTTCTATTTGTGAGTTGAGGAGGGGAAAGCTGTTTCATTTCTTTCTTTCGACTGTCTGCCATTTCGCGGAGGGGCAAACTAATGGATGCTTTTGCAAGTTATCAACGTCAAGGATTACAACTTAGCGGTATTTATTGAACTTAAGGTAAAAAAAAAAAAAGAGGCTGCACGACCCATTTTACATGTATGCACACCATTGAGGCTCCCAAACATGTTTTCGTTATTGCTGAACTGCCTCAGAAAGTTGTCCCGAGAATAGAAGTGTTAAAGGGTCTAAATGTGACGTATTAGTCCGACGTTACATGGAACTATTAGTGTGTACGGGAGGGATACCTGAAAAGAAAGATCCTAGTGGCCTCACGGGGATAGCCGAACGTTGGCAGCCGCTCTAAGTCTCACAGGAGTGTCGCTCTCAAGTTCTCCAAGTTTCGACCGCCCCGTATTTTGTTTAACCTTCACAGTTTGGTGCAAAGTTAAAGCAAGGAAGAATTACTGTTAACAAGTGACACAAATATAATTGTCGAGTGAACACCACTCAATACGGAGCAGGCAATCCCTGAGGAATAAAAAGTATCTTGAGGAGCAACTAAAAAAAAAGGGAGTGGGGAGGGGGGTAGTTTTAAAGCATACTGTGTCGTAAAGATTCCTCTGCCCCACATTTTCGGCGCAGACTAGAAAGCGTGGCCTGGAAACGATAGTGACAGATGGGTAGTTGGTACAACTTTTATTTGTAAAAACACTTTTGCCAGAAAGCACGTTTTCGTCGTGCCAGATACTCGCGCCGTGCCTAACGACGATGTACCAACAAGAAAAATGTGTGCCTCTCAAATACATAGCTTGCACTGAGCGCGAAACTTTTGCAGCGTGCATTTTGCCAAACCGGATTTGATTTTCTCAGCAAGAACAACTCGCAATGACAACCAGTATCTAGTGCGATTACGTCACGTGCAAACCATGTTAAATACTTCAGCTTTCTGGTGAAGTGCGACGTTCGCAACACCAGCACCAGACGTCCAATGAGTAAAGTTGTGTAGTATTTATAGTAGTCTCGCGATGATATACGGCAGCCTAATGAAATGTTGGAGCACATGACTGATAAAGAACAGAGTCATGAAGTAAGGTCTCAAAACAAGTGCACGTAAAACCTAAGATAACATTTGCCTCCCGAGGTAGTATCCCGCGACGTTTCGAGCTGAGGCAAGCTGATGCCCAAAAGTGATTTATATTAGGATTCTAAAAAATCTTTGTTTGCCCTGCGCGGAATCTATGTTTAATTAGGAATATCATGTTATGCATTTCTATGCATTTCTTTTTGCAGTAAAGCGTTGTGCAAGGGATTATTTAGAAAAAAATTGCGTGTCATCTCCTTATTTCTGCACATTTCGTGTATTTGCCTTCCGATATATCATGTGACCACAGTGTTTTTTGGCATGCCCTGCAACCCACTATTTTACACTGCAAAACAGCTAACAAAAGCACGTTGCCGAAGACACAACAGCTGGCGTATTTTCGAGTATCGTCCTTCCGTGTCGGTCTCAGGCGGTTATGTGAACTTCGTAAAGTCAAATTTATCGATGATAATAAAAATATACTTAATTCCTGTCTGAAGATTTGGCAGCATAAATAGAAGATTCTCACCTCCAAGATATATAAGTAAATGCGCCTTTATATTATCTGAAAGATGTTCGGCAAATATTTTTCTGCGCTTTTATCCTCTATAGACACGTTATAGGTGATTTTGAAAAGATATAAATAATGTTTTTTTTATTATTTTGAAGCTAATTTAAATAACTATATGTGTTCCTCACGCATATATAACTTCTCAAATATATAGAAGTTTATTATCGCGTTTTTTATGTGCTTTTACTATCACCTTTTTTTACTGGAACGAGTGGTGGAACTATGACGATTGCACACAAACTCTCAGAAAGTGTCCAATTAGGTAGCTTCCGAATTGAGTAGAGCATGAAATACCACTTTGTTCTATTTAACAAAAATCATCAATTAGCGAGGGTGATGCTTATTTGCAAATTAAATTGACTTGCATTTTGTCAAGAGCAAACGTCAACATCCAGGCTATGCCAGTTTATCCAATATAAGAAAATGTTCACATGGGTAAGCACTGTTTCAGGTCAGATTCGATCTCAGTAATAAGGTGCTCATAGGTTAGAGTGAACAATTTCAGCCACTCCTTTTCGCATGATTCGTCGCCCGCATCATGGTGCTGAGAGCAAACAATATGCTAGTTAGAAAAACAAGCATTGCGATTGTCGCTTAGTGTTCCTATAAAATATAGACTGGAAGGACTCTTCCCGTGACTTTCGTGACATTTTGAAAATTATATTCCCTTAAGCTCAGTCGTCTCGTCATCATATATATATTGTGAAACGTATTCCGTAAAACACATGTCATGATATGTATGGCGACGAGGTGCCCATTTCATGATTGTATTCACTGTAATTAATTCCTTAGTTCAAAGGCAAAACCACGATTCAACATCTAATACTGCGATACAAAGTTGTACCAATCACGGGTATTTTAGGCAGCCTACTTCACTTCCGAAAACATTTCGATTCAGGTACAATATATGTGACTCTGGTAAACGAAGGGATGTTGAGTCGTATAAACACGACGTTTTGTATGTTAATGTAGATTTTCCTTTCTTGTTGTGTAGGAATAAATAACAGAATTTTATAATTTTGGTACCTGAGAATAAAACTGAATTGAACAAACAATTAAAAAAAAAACTATATACTGTAAACGACTATTTTTCGTGGGCTCAATATTTCGCGATTTAGGTCAAAGCTGAAGTTTTGGAATAATTCGCGGGTTGTAATTTTCTCGACGCGGTGGAATCTCAATATAAATTTCAATCTGTTTACATTTTACCGAAATTGTTCGCGGGACCCATTTTTCGCGAATTGTAGGCAATTCGCGAAATTCTCAAAAATAGGTCCTCGCAAAAATCAGATCGTTTACAGAAGTTAGTTTCACGGCCTAAATAGCGCCTATTGACAGAACAACGCGGAAAATATATTCTCAATTTAGCGGTTCAAACCGGTTCGAACCGGTTTGAACCGTTATTTTTTGCGCCCCGGAACTGAACCGGAACTGAACCGAAAGCCGTGAACCCGAACCCGAACCGAACCAATAAAAATATCGGTTCGACACTCTGGCGGCGAGGCTTACGAAAGCTAGGCATTTGTTTAGGTTAGGTTAGGTTAGGTTAGGTTATGTGAGGTCAGGTTAGGTTAGGTTATGTGAGGTTAGGTTACGTTAGGTTAGGTTCGCGGATCCACTAGTGATGACGTTTGGGGCGCAGGCGCAGCCCTTGTCTTCCAGTTGTATTACCTCCGTTCCCGCCTGTCGCTGACGACCACTGCTTGCCCGCAGCTGGTGAAGTACAAGAAGGCGCAGAAATACGACTACGGCCGCCGCCTCAACCGAAAATACTATGGCCAGGTAAGCGAAGCTAAGAGCAGAATGCGTGTTTACCCCCAGTATTCTCCAGGGTTTTTAATACGCTTTATTAGAGTGCAATCGTTCAAATATATTTGGAGTAGATTAAACTTGTGGCAAACAGAAACGTGGCTTATTTAATTACACTTAGGATGACGCTATGCAATCCACAAAATTATTTTGGTGTCTTATGGTTCATATCTGTGACGTCACGACGGGGATCAGTTGTCAGCGACAGTCTCGATGATGTGTAAAATGCACGGTGCAAGCTTATGGTCAACGCGCCTTTAAGCCAACGTCTGACATTCCTCTTAATCACTTTAATTTTTATTTCCATTTAAAATTCGCTTCTCAAGACGCAAAACTATTTGCTTTTAAGACCACAGTTATATCACAACTGGAATTTGCTTCGTCACTTTCGGTCCCTCATCAGTCATTCCTTATGCACATGATTTATTCTGTACCAAAGCGGCGCGCTTTGTACTATTAGACTTCAAATAAAAACAGCGTCCAGGCAATAATAAAAAAAAAAGCTTAACATTATTTTTTTTTTATTACCGTAGAACTCGTGCGGGTCTGTTAATGATACACAGGTCGTATTATCAGTCCCCCGATTCGACTAAACAATAATATTGTAAATCTGCGCATCACATTTCCCAGCGAACAAGCTACAGTTGCAGGCTAGCCCTAGCTACCCCACGAACGAACCTTTAAAAGTAATCACCATTGCAACTTATGACAGCATTCGCAAATGATTTCAGGAATGTTGTTAAAACATATACGACTTGGCCGGATGCTGAATTGTAAAATGTGCTGTAACAGCTACCTTGACTTTCAGTCACTCCCCCCATCCCCCCCCCCCCCCCCCCCTCCGTTATGCAAAACCCAGTAATCGGCGATTTAAGAGTAATACAAATAAAATGGAATTAATTAAAGAAGACGTCATAGTGATCGTTTGGCCAAATTGTGGAAAGCCGACCACAGCGATCCTTTTGGCCGCACTCGACAACTGGGCTCCTTTCTGGAACGCCCGGCTCCCAGCACGCGCTCCATGCCTTCCACAGTGCTTCGACTGCACGTGCGCGCTCGAAGAGCACGAGAGGCCTAAGCGTTGTCGAAGGCAGGTAGCTCAAGCTGGAGGCGAGATAACTAAAGAGCCGCAAAGAAAAAAAAAAAATATAATAGTGTTATTATTAGGATGTGTTAAAAGACCGATAGGGACTTTAGCATACCGTTACCGTGTTCCGGATACCGCGCTATTGAAGACTTTGAAGCCTGCTTCTAAGCACGAGCCCCGCGGTCAAAGTATCACACGAGCGTTTGTGTATTGAAAAAAAAAAAAAAAACAGATTCGAAGTGTCTATTAAAATTTAAAAGCAGATGGCTTAACACTATCGTCTGTCACTAGGCGACCATCAATCATTAGAGCAGGGACGCCTGCCACATCCTTTCATTGCGATTTGTAAGACTCTCTTTAACACTTTAAAAATGTTAAAATCACTGAGAGTCTTTTCAAGCGTACAATTTATTTTTGCTAAAAAAAATACACAGAATGAGAGCTACGCACGACCCAATGCACATGCCTCTTCTTTGTAAAAACAGCTGGTTGTCAAACGACATAAAGGTACTCTTAGTACAGCTAAAAAAATGTCAACAGTCACTCCTGAATTTATTCGGAAAAGGAATGATGCCACTTGCATCTATACACGCCCTTACGGCCTCAAACAATTCACAGAGAGGGACCGAATAAGACAGATCCTCAATATCTATAAAATAAAGTAGGGTATGCCTTTTTCATAGATATTGAGGACCTGTTTTATCCTCAAAAAAGAGGCATATGCATTGAGTCGTGCGTGGCTCCCATTCTGTGTTTTTTGTTTTAGCAAAAATAGATTGTACCCTTGAAAAGACTCTGTGATTTTAACGTTTTTAAAGTGTTTAGATCCGTAGATGATTTTTTGATTCTTTTTAATGAACGTTCGTCCTTGACGTACTTTGATGACACGAACTCAGTTTTGGGGGCTTTTAGACACCATGGGAGAGGATTAAATTTCACCCATAAACTGCCTAAGCAGGGTAGTTTACAGTTTTTAGATCTAAGTTTTAAGGTTTTAGAAGGACACACGTGTTGGGTGTACGCCCCGCAGTCTCAAATGGAACCCTTGCCGTATGATTCTGCGCACTTTAAGGTGATAAAAAGAGGTAACGCTGTGTTATACCTAGAGTCGGAGCTTTAAGAATCAGGTGACAAGACTATTGTCAGCTGGCTACCTTGAAAAGGTCGTGACGAATGTGGTAGAAGGCATTCTTCAAAAAGTCAAAGGCCATGCCACGACGGCAAAGGCGAAAACGGCGCGGTGCAAAATGAGACCTGAGGTGGTACCGTATGTGCACAGAATGTCGCACAACCTCAAGAAGGTGGCGAACCCCTTTGGAGTGCCGCTCGTGTTTTCAGCACCGAGCAAACTCGACCAACTCTGCTCTCGTATTACCGGTGGCAGCGGTAAGAGGCGAGGCTGTACCACAAAACATGCCAGGCCAGATGTGGATTGTGTCACGGGGGTGGTTTATGAAATTCCCCTTGTACGTGTGGTAAGTCTTACGTAGGACAGACGGGCAGACGTGCGAACGACCGACTGAAGGAACATGCGCAAAATTTAAAGAGGAATGATGGGGCCCATTTGCCTGAACACTGCAACAAATGTGGATGTGAAGCACGTCTTTCTGAGACAGTGTTTCTGGGCAAAGGCAAGTGCCGAAAAGCGCGCGAGTTATTGGAGGCGTATTTTATCAAAAAAAATGGGTTCACAATGCGTAAGTGACGCATCTATTGCAGTCTATAATACCGAGATTAGATTATTTGATAAGTTTTTGTAAATGTGAGATGAAGCGTATATCACATGGCTAAGCGTATGCGTGAACGTGATCAAGATGACGATGCTTGTATTCCTTTCTTTCTGCACTTTTCAAATGTAGTTGTGAGTGGCGCTCTGGTATGTCTGTTTTCTCTCTTGTGTCCGTTGTTTCTTGCGCCTTACACAATGATTTCAGGTCTTCCTGTTTACACCGCAACAACCTTATGCGCCAAAAAAGTGAACCATACTGAACAATAGTTTTGCTGACGCACACAATTTAAGTGTTAAACATTAGAAATAGCTTCTTGTTTAGATGTGACTCAAAGACAGTCTTCACGATTTAGAATAACTTATAGTTTGGATGAGTATGTTAAGGCGGGCCATGGGAGCTGGTCCTTACAAGGAGTCGTCACGTGAAACGTTTCTCTTCCGCCTCGGGTGCAAACGATTCCTATGGGAGCGTACGTTCGTCTGCTTCTTTTGCAGGGGTTGTGGTGACGTCAGAACGCGGAGCTCTGATTGGCTGTGATTGAAGGATAGTGGGTAGACCTCAAGGCAGCTTGCCTTGAAGTCTATCCTTTATCCTTCAATCAGAGCCAATCAGAGCTCAGCGTCTTTCTGACGTCACAACAAGCCCTGCAAAAGAAGCAGACGAAGTTGCGCTCCGCATTTTCCCAAGAGCACTAGTTGACGTATTCACGGTCGTTCCTCTCAAGGAGTATCGTTCCCAAACACCCGAAGAGCCCAAGTTATTCCGCGTTGTCGCACAAGGGGGCTGGATATTTGCTTGGGAGAGGCGTCCCCATTTGAGGAAAAGGATGGCGCGAGCTTCCTAAAATACTTATTGACTTTCCCAACAGACGGGTGGCGATATCTGCTCGGGGGCTTATCCCCGAATAAACTTCCCAAGGAAAGGCAGCGAGGCATACCGCGAACGGCACCTGCTTCGTTTCATTCCCGTCTTTTCCGACTACAAAAAGCACATTTAACAAGGCCAAGGATACGCACGAACCGTTCTGGGGCATTGACAAGGCATTTGAGATTAACTATTTATTCCTGTCGTTGGTTTTTTCACAATGGTCGAAGCTTACGGTTTGGTCTCGCTTGACAAAAGAGCAAGAAGCTGAAAATCTGTTTGTCCTGTCCTCTCAGGTTTTAAATTATGTTTAACTCACTAGTGATGTTCGCCTTGTAGACTATAAGCCGATCATCCGTAAGCTCACAGTGCGGTGAAAGTTACGTGCTTGTAGGAACAGTCACACGCCTTCCTTTCGCCACGTAACCGCGCTCTCGTTCATACACATGCGCAGAGAAAGGGACAGGTCAGGTGATCAAAGAAATGTGGTCCATTGGTTTCGGTGAGCTCGTAGCTTCCACCGCACTGTCAGCTTAGGGAAAAACGAAGTTATACTACCGTCGTGATGGCTGGACGCAGTGAATCTGTCTTGCGTGGAGTTCATGGGCGGTGGAATGCCAACGATGTGTTAACACCTAAGCTTTACACCTTCGCCTTTCCAGCCCGTTTTTGTGCGTCTGTCGAGTTCTTTGTACGAGCCTTTGCGCTTAGATGGCCGTCATTTCTTTGCTCTAATGTCTATTTTTCAAATTTCACTGTGCAAACTATTTTTTTTAAAGCTCGCAAACCAACTTCGTCATTTAGGACAAAAGTAATTTCAAAACTAATTAATATTATTGTTGTAATTGCTTCCTGAAAGTAATTCATTACACTACTAAATTACAATCGTAGAAGAAGTAAATAATTAGATTACTCGGTACCACAAAGTAATTTAATTATTGTAATTTCATTACAGTAATGCCATTACTGCCATCTCTGGTTCCGTGAGGAATTGGTACAAATCAAAGTCATTGATTACGTTCGAACAAGTGGAATAAAGATATGATGAATTATGAATGACAGGGCAGTAATCTACCCAAGAAAATCTGGAAGGTTGAAATAACCACCCAAAACATCTACCGGAGCGACAACAGGTAATGCATTATACCTGTAATGAAAGAAGGTTTTGAGCAGTGCTCGCTGGAAACCTGTAAAACGAGCCGACAGTTAAATATTCACCCCTAGAAAGGAAAATCTTACACCACACTGCTTCCCAAAACACGCCACTAATGTCTATGAAAATGATGTGAACGCTCTACGCGGAACACGGTAACGGTTTGCTAAAAGTCCTTAAAGAGACAGAGATGACGGTAACGGTATCATGGTGGCGCCATGCTAAAGCACTCTACTGTTAATAAACGAGCAGCCTTAACGATAATGGTATGACGATGACAATATGCTCAAACGGTGTGTACTCTTTCGGGCGCCTCAGCCTACGCCTCCCGAGTACAGGCTGGACACCGTGAGGACGGACGTGGGCGTCTTCTGGAGCCAGGGTGACCAGTTCGTTCCGCCCGAAGGCGTCCGCGAGCTCGTCCGCCGGCTGGGACCATGGGTGAAGAAGAACCACTTCATCGACGACCCGCACTACACACACGTCCACTTCGTCACTTCCGTCATCAATCAGAGGTTGCTCTACAAGGACCTGCTCGAGTTCCTGGGACGCTACGTCAGTTGACCGAGCCTATAGGCATATCCATAGGCATCATGCTTGGAAAGCTGCTCCGACGTTTTCCGCGTCTTGATTGTGCTTTTAAGGCCAAGGCCCCACTGATACTGGCAATCTAGGGGTTCTTCGGCAGCTGGCTACTCGTCTCATTCTAGATACTTCTTTGAATGAGTGGTTTCATTGGAAAGGTAATATAGTCCTTTTTCCTCCGGTATAACTTATTATATGTTTTAAGTTGTTTGTGGGTAATTATAGCGTCGCCAACAATGAGACACGGACACTCACTTGCTCGGCTATAGTTCCCATTTTCTGAAGGGACCATGAAACGTAACACAATTTGAATGATCCTGCTTTGTTAATAAGATAGGAAATAAAATGTGGACGAAGGACGAAGTATTTTTTATTTTGTATTACTTTGTTTTGTACAGCTCCCCAAATATTGCCCGAATATCACATTTTCATCCCGGATATCTTTTTGGTTATATATACTAGACCTGCAAAATTTGCTACACATGAAACTCTTGGCATTGTATTTATATTCGCGAAAATTGTCGAATGCAGGTGTGGTGCTGTTGATGAATTGTTTTTGAGCAAACATTGCAATATTTAAAGTTTCAGGCGATGGCAGTTCCTCTTTCGCTGAAGACATAATTGAACTGCAGCGAAGATTTTGATAGAGTGTGGCAGTCACTGCTCATACATCACACAAAAGACACGTGTCCGCTGCCAACATGACGATAGAATTGTCTGCGGAGATGCCTCTGTTCAAAACAAGTTTGCTTCATACGCATGTATGCTTCGAGCATATCTGCAGGCAGTTTTTGTTGGGCCAATGCGCCAAGGCCGTCATACAAGATAAGAAACACGTTTTAGGCAGTGTCTTCTGACTGTCTTTCGTATGAATTATTAGAAATGTGACCGCGGTTATACATTTTTCGCTTGAGAGTCAAAACGTGTTTTTCTGTTTTAGGGATTTATTTTCCAGCAAATTCGGGGGTGTTCTTTCGGTGCTTATTCTTCCTCCCAGATTCAGTGGTTTTTTTTGTGTGTATCAATTACTTTTTTTATTGAACAAAAATTAGAGCTAATCAATGCTTATCTTAAAAAAAAAAAAAAAAGGACAGGGCCAGGGATTTTTTTTAACCTCCAAGAAACATACACGCGTCACGAATACTAAAAAGCTCTCCGCACCTATAAGAACAAAAGAAAACAAAAGAATGTGTGTGGTTCCAAAGAAAGGAGAAGCCTCAAGGACAGTTCATTGAGGGTCGTGTTCCGGGACAACGGAAAATAGAGCCGTAGATAAAGATGTCTTCTCGTTCGCGAAACTTGGGTTGTTCTCCGTCGACGACAGCTCGAATTCGGAGATTTTTTTTTTTTTTTTTTGGTTTGCCTTTTTACAGACAGTGTTTGTATGACCAATCTGACCGTCATTTGAGGAAGGCTTCAGGTAGTGTCTGCAGGCTGTATTTTGTATGGTGCGTTAGTTGCAGTTTCTTCCCCGGCTTACCAGGTTACCAGACATAAACGAACGTGATTGGTGCTGTTAAAAACGTGCTATAGTCCTGTGTTTTTTTTTTCTTTTTGTCACGTTAACGAACATATGAACTGGGCCCGTTAAGGTTGCGAGTCCTACGAATGAAGTTTATTAGAAGTTCTTAGTATCAGAGACAATTAAAAAAAAACAAGTTATGTTTACTTAATAAAGTCGAGAATATACTGTCTACCTTCCTTGTGTTTTCATATCCACAGCCAATATGTAAACCATTATGTGAGCCTAATTTGGTTTCCTTTTTTTCTACGTGAATATGTAGTACGTCTCCTTCGATACAATGATTGTACACGCGGCCCATACATATATACACATTCAACAGGGAACATCATGTAGACTTCTCTTCTCATTAGCGAACAGCACACAACCACGACTACAAATAAAAAAAAAAAAAAGAAAGCAAAACAGGAAAACAGCACAACGCTTTTCCTTCCTAGTCCAGCGCTCGTACATCTGATCCAACTCCCGAAGATTACTCTGTCTCCGCAGATCTCAGCCGCTGCTCAGACCACCAGCTGTGACGAAACCACCGATGCCCGCGGCGATTTTTCCCTTTATCGCCTGTCGAACGCGGCCCCAATTAGGGACGAACTGGATGCAGCGGAGGCGCTGGCGTCTCCCTGTCAGAAGGGTCCGCAAGAAAGCAGCACGCGCCTCTATTCATTACCCGCTGTACCGATGGCCCCGGACACAAGCGGATCGATCGCTTCAGTCCCTTTCCATCCACCCTCAGAGTACACCCTTCTGACGTCAGGTTGACGTCAGCAGCCGCGCGTGCGCTGTTCGAAGCCCCTATTGATCTGCGTTCGGAGTGGTGCCTGCCATCTTCGCGCCGGAGACTGGCGAGGGCATGGCGGCGACGATACGGTTTTTCGCGTTGCTCGTCTGCGTTGCCCAGCTGGCCATCCAGGGAACGGAATCAAAAGACGTCTTCACCAACTCGTTCCTGGTGAGGCTACGCGGAGATCATGAGCCCGTGACCGCTGACAGGGTCGCCAAGAGGAACGGCTTCCACAGCCTGGGACCGGTGAGTGCAGCTCCGTCTGCTAAGAGACCTGCTAAGTCCGACTCCTCGTCTTGCGGACCAAACAGGCACTTCTCACGGGCTCACAGCTGGGCTGCTGTCCCAAACGCTCGCGACGTCTGGTTTTTTTTTTAGTCTTAAAATGTAGGGTTCCTGCTAATGGCTTTCCTTTTGGTCATCACTAAGGTTTCGTCATATCAGAAAGACACCGTGGTACAAGACCTCATCGCAGCTTGAGCAGTTTTGGCTTATGGACATACTCTTGTTAACATTAAGGATATCTGACTTTTTGCTTCTTCTTTTGACTTTGACTAATGTCGACTCTTGGTTGTTTCAGTTATTAAGATGACAATTTTCAGAAGCTGTCTCCACCAGATGCCTTTTCTATGTCCCCGAGTAAACTTGGGCCGAACTTACCTCGGGCACCACTAACGTCTGTAGATGTCTCAGGCAATGTTTGAAGCGATGACGCGTGTTACAAATCTCAACATACTGTATTGTGCCTCATGACAACCTAAAAAGCAAACATAATTGCTTTGTAATTACTAAAGGTATTGATGAGTGCCCATTTTTGTCAATCCGTGTTTTCGTGTTGAATCGGATAAACAACCCGCGATCATGATTACCTAGCCCCCTGGTGGGGGGGGGGATGACGTGGAGGGCTGTCGTAGATCACATGATCAGTTCTCATCAGGTGGTGACGACTAGCTTCTTGTAACACATGGGCCGTCACATGATTGCGACTAATCAATACTGAGGCGTAAGTGCGTAGAGATAATTTCCGACTAAGATAAGCGCCAGTCAGCTGCCAGATGCTAAAGCATTCATTTGTAGTTTCGTAGACAAGGCGTTTTCATCGTGTTATATATATATATATATATATATATATATATATATATATATATGAGACTATAGCCGGCGTGACTGGCCGGTCTAGCTCAACTTTCGGTCAATCATTAATGAAGTCACAAGCGATATTTTTAGACAGCAATAAAAAGCACTGACAGAATGAGAAGGCAGGACGTGGTTTGGATCCCTGGCCTTCGGCGTGCGCTCGGTGCTCTCCGTGGTGCTCTGGCTGCACGTGCAGGTTCGATTGTCGAGCGATGCCGAACTGTTATGGAAAGGAGAGAGCCCGCGCTGGGGAGCCGGAACAACTAAATTGCTTCCCCAACGTTCTAGCCCTGTCAGTGACAGCTGACGATTTGACGCGGCGTGAGCAGTGCATACTTCAGTGCGTTTTGACCACCCGCGCTTACCGTTTTGGGGTTGAATACACCACGTTTCATACGTTCTTTGGACTTCGTCTACACTGTTAGGGTGACCTTGTAAAAAACGATTTGTTTTAAAAACAGGACTTTTTTTTTTCTGCCGAGCCGCCACCTCAATAAAAAAAAAATTAAATGCTTAAAGTTCATACCTGAAAAAAAAACAAAAAAACACAATTAAGTTTATATAGCTCGCCCCAGCGATGGACTCATACTTAATTTAGTGTACTTGGGAACATTTCACGCGCAACCAAAATCGCAGCAACACTACGTTTATAAAACAGCAAGCTTATAAGGCACTAAAAAAATATACTGTTCACAATACACAGCGCCATTTAATGGGACCACTAAAGTCCTGGTGTTCAGGAAGCACAAGACAACACGTGACGGTAAGAATACTTATTTTAAAACGTTAGGCAAAAAAAAAAAATAGAAACACCTTGTTACCCAATTTTTGCTTCAATAAATACCTTTTCCGCTGATCAGGATGCGCTGTAAGGAATACGACCGACAATTAAGGATAGTATATATACTAAGAGACAAAAAATGGCGGGAGAGAGAGGTTTGATATGAGAGCCCATCATCAGATTCGTACCCGTTTCTTCGAGAAACGTCACCGATTATGGTATACAAGTTTCGCAACGTTAAATTAAAAAAAAAAAAAAAAATTATCTTTGTCATAATGTAATCACTTGCCTCACTCGTGACGTTACGAATTACTCTAAGGTTATTTTCATTCCGGTACTTCTAAAAACATTCAAACGCTAGTTTGATCACCATTCGGTATGAGTGTTGCACCGGCCGTAACCGAAATTAAGCGCGCACAATAAAGTTACTCGTTAGCTCGACAAACAGAATAACGTTTACCGAGTCTCATTACCCTCTTCGCTACACCTTCCTGACACAACAAGGTTCCGTTAACGTATTTCGTTATACCTCACTAGCAAACGTCACCTTTCCGTTACTTTAGCTTTACAACTTACCATTTCCGACAACAGTCTGTACCAGTTTCAGAGTGTATGGTTTTATAATGTTTCTTACTCTTTCTAAACAACCACGTGGTATACTTATGTGTCGTTGAATTTGTGGGGCAGTGTTTTTTTCTTTTTTTTTAATATCTCGTCGGACACCACTTTTTGGCGAAACACTGTTACTATAGGGAGAATTCACTGGCTACCATAGCTGCGTGCGCAACATGCTGAGAGCGCTGATGGCGACCTTCCACACTTATTTTGCAACGTGCATTCCACACCGTCAAGGTTGCCGGTTTTTGCAGCCCATTAATGTGAGCTCGTCCTGAGCATGCGCTCTAAGCACCGCCCCGAAATATGGCGTCCAGTGAATACTGTAGCTATACACTTCAGTCGCAATCCCATTTCTCACACATTGTGCAAAAAGACATGGCCTTTATTGTCGACATGATGACAAAATGAACTAAGGACACGCTTCAAGAACGCTCGAAGCACGTTTGGTTCGTACGTATGTATGCTTCGAACAATTTGCAGACAGTGTTTGTGTGACCAACACGACTGTACCGTCATACAAGAGATAAACACGCCACATATGGTGTTTGCAGGCCGTCTTTTGTACGAGGCCTTAGAACTCTGTTGGCGGCTTAAACAATTACTCGAACGAAGCACTTCGCGGGACTGTAGTATTTGCTTTAACAAAAATGAATTGAACTTCTGGGAGCTCTTGTTTTGATGTTCTCAGGGGGAAAGTCGAATGGAAGTAAAGACAGCTAATTCTACCGTTCTCTCAAGAGAAGTTTACGTGGCGGTACTGGTCCCAAAACAGAAGAAATCATCTTAAAGGAAGACTCACTGCGGAGTCGAGCTGGTGATTAGCAAAGTTGACAAAAACATGACACGACGAAAGAAGGAGGGAGGAAGATAGATAAAAAAAGAAGGAAGGTTCGTGTTTGTGTACGTGTCTGTGTGTGCTCTTGTGCGTCTGTGCGCGCCTGTGTGTCTTTTTTAGGCGTCGTTTTCCCCTGTCCATAGTTCAGTTTTTTTATGTTTTATATTATATTTCTTTTTTTTAACGTCCATACTTGTAAAACCTGAGGCGGGAAAGATAAAAAAAAAAAGCGTCGCAGCGGACGTTACGAGTTATCCCAGTCAATACAGCGCTGTGAAGGTACCACGTGACTGCGCGCCTTGCCTGACACTACCCCCCCCCCCCCCCCCCCGCTTTTTTTTTTACGGGTAGGTTACACGACATTCGCACGACGTGGCGGTTCTGACGTCACACTGCTGCGGTGGCGCTGCTGTCGACACGGCGCATGCGCACACGTATCACGTGACACGGGCAGGGTTCTTGCGCATGCGCAGTGCAAACTTGTTTGTTTGTGTGTTGACAAACAAAGGACTTGTTTGTCAACAGCGTGTGGCTCTATACCAGCTTCTTGTCATGCATCGTGGGCCAAAATATGCGAAACGCAAGTTTGTCTGCTTCTTGCGCAAAAGTTGCGGTGACGTCAGAACAGCGAACACTGATTGGCTCGATCGGAGCTTCGCGTTCTGACGTCACCACAACTCCCGTAAAAGAAGCAGACGAACTTGCGTTCAGAACAGAACCTGAACCAAGAACGGTTGCGAACATGTTGTCACTTGCACCGAACGTTAGAGCTCTCTCGTTGAAGTATTGACTTCGTTCATAGCGTCGCTATATTTGGGGATGTTTTCTTCTCTATTCTACGCCGTTGACGGGGCGCGAATTCATTGATTTTAAAGAGAAAACGTGGCTGATTTCAATAAAAAGAAACGTGTAGCGATTAACGTCAGTAGATAGATGATGCCGGCTAGTTACCTCTAACGACGTTATTTGTGGTGCCTTACCTGTAAGTATCTCACCCTTGTGTATATGTTTTTTTCTATTTTCATTTCATTTCACCTGTTAACGTATAGCCGAGGAGGCAATCACCCTTTCCTGCACGGGCTTGAGCCTTTTGATTGCCTCAGTCTCTCGGCCTTACGGAAGATTCAGCCAATAAAAACCCTTGAACATTTGAACTGATTTGTTTAATAATGCTGTAGTGCAGCGGTACTCTTTCTAATTCGCAAAATTTTGTGTTGTTGCATAGTTAGGCATTTCTACGCAAATGTTTTTCAACTCATAAGAGGCTTAACACATTACTTTAAAAACACGCAAATCAAGGTTGTACTAAGATACTGTCAGCGCGAGCTAGCGGAATATATCGAATCCAACACCACAATCTTACGAACAATAAGGTTATACACTAAGAGTAGAATTAAATTAAATATATCGTGTTTTTATCGTGGACTATGAAGGAAAGGTTCCTACTGGGTCACGGTGACGGTCTGTCCCCAGTTACCTGACACCGTTCAATGTGAACAACTTTTGATGGGGTGCACGCAAGACGAAAACAACACACCTACAATTGTATATATTAAAGAAAATTTAAATCAGAAGTCGTCTTGGCCGTTGCTCCTGTTATGTTTGTATCATAGTGTTTACGGATATATATCACGTTGACTAGTTCTTTTTTTCTTGTACTGCTCCATTGGAAGAGCTGTTGTTAAATTGGCCGACCATTCTGCTTTAATTGCAAATTGAAAGCTATGTTTTCTTAAGTATTTGAAGCAAACAAGTCTGTCTTTCTGTCAAAGAAAAAAAAATTCTCGATCAACTGCGCAGAAGTGCGATCCGCCCATCAGGCTGAATGTGATGTGTAATTAGAACGTTAAGAAGTCTTATTTTTCTTTCTTTCTT